TGTAGAGATGAGGTCTCGCTGCCCAGGCGGGTCTCGAACCCGCGGGCTCAGGCAATCCACTCACCTCAGCCTCCCAAAGGCGCGGGATTACAGGCTGAGCCACCGAGCCCTGCTTGCCTGCTTCCTTTTGCACACTCCTCCCACCTTCAGGCTCCTGTCTGATCTTCCCATTCCTCCTTAGGGACTGCAGTAGGGAGCCTAGAGAAAGCTAGGGTAAGGGACTAAGGTCCAAGGGGCTCCAGGCCCTGCTGAGGCCCTACAGTAGTCAATGTCATTGACAGAAAACTGCTGTGTATCATCCGTAGAGGGGAGAGAGAAGAAATAATCAGAATGTGTGCTCTGTCCACAGCCAGATTACCTGGGTTCAAGTCCTGGCTTCGCCATCCATAGTCATCCCAATCCCAATCTGCGGGAGATTCGTTCCAGAAACCCCATGGATACCAAAATCAGGGGATGCTTAAGTCCCTATGTAAAATGGCGTTGTATTTGCATATAACCTGCACACATCTTCCCATATGCATCATCCCTAGATTACTTATAATACCTAATAAGTAAAGGCTATGTAAATAGTCATTATACTGTATTGTTTAGGGAATAATGGCAAGGAAAAAAGTCTGCACATGTTCAGTACAGACATTACCCCTCTCCCTCAATATTTTTGATCCACGATTGGTTGAATCTGCGAATAAGAATCCTACAGATATGGAAGGCCTATTGTACTAGATCTTGGGCAAATTACTTAACTTTTCCACGCCTGCATTCTCCTATCTGTAAAATAGGAGTAGCAATAGTATTTACCTCACAGGGTTATTGAGAGGATTATATTATTAAATACTTGTAATGTATTAACTAAAGTATTTTCTGAATGTTTTCTAAAGTGATTACTGATATCTGTGCCTGAAATGTGGAAAAAGCTCCAAAAATGTTTGCTATTAGTTGTTATTGTTTATTTTTCCCCTGAACATCCTGAGCTTCCATATTGTTTATTAATATCACCTATCAGCTTTGGGAGGCCAAGGCAGAAGGATCACTTGAGGCCAGGTGTTCAAGACCAGCCCGGGCAACAAAGCAAGACCCTGTCCCTACAAAAAAATAAAAAAATATTACCTAGCCGGGCATGGTGGCTCACGCCTGTAGTTCCAGCTACTTGGAAGGCTGAGGCGGAAGGATCGTCTGAGCTCAGCGGATCGAGGTTGCGGTGGCCACTGCACTCCAGCCTGGGCGACAGAGTGCGACTCCGACTCAAAATATATATATTACCTATGAGTGCCACAAGAAATTAGTAAGCCCAAGCTCACATAAATTAGAAATATCTAACTATGACTGATATTGATTACTGCCAAATACGGGGCACTTCCTATATGCCAGGCAATGTGCTTTGTCAGGCAACGTTCACGGTACATTATCTCCCTAAGTGTTCCCAACAACCTTAAGAGGGAGTTAGTTGCACTCTCATAAACCTCATTTTATAATCGGGAAGCACAGAGGGGTTAAGTAATTGTCTCAAGGTCACGTAGCCAGCAGGTGGAGAAGACATACGTTCGTTTATTTACCATTTATTGCGTGCTTACAGCGTCTTAGCAGGGACAAGTCCTCTGGGTACAAAAGTAAACAGTCTAGGCCCCAGCCTACAGGAAGTTTCAGTTTCCAGAGAAGAGGCGGGGCGGGGGCGGGAATAAGGAGTAAACAAATAGTTGCACCACTGTGCGGTAATAGCTATAATAAAGGCTCACTACGAAAAGAGCTCAGACACTGGGACAAGAACAGTACTGAGAACTTAGGGGCCCAGAGGGAAGACACGACAGTTAGGGAGCAAGCAGCTGTCCCTTGGCAAACGTGCTACAAACGTGTCGCGTGACAACGAACGCTGAACCCCCAGAGACTAAACCGCGCGGGGCCGGGAGCGGAGGCCGGATCTGCGTCTCAAAGGCGCGCCGGGCAACTTCGGGCAGGGCGGGAAAGGGGTTAAGGCGAGCAGGTGGGCGTGGCCACACGTTGACTGGCA